CATGAATATGTCTGTTGCAAATATTTGAGTAATGGCATTCACAAAAGAAAGCATTTCTGAACACAGCCCCAACATGGTGCTTTACAATGTACAAATGGAAACACACAATCGCATGCTTGGAGATGACACAGAGTTCAGTGAAATAGTGCATGCTTCTCATGGAGAAGAGCCCAGTTTCTGTACCACCATTTCCAGTTAAAGCAGGGCAGTGAAATGTGTGTTCCTGTTGTACTGCAAATTCTATCAACCCTAGATAGGGTTGATAGAATTTGCCAATTGTGAAAGATGAAGAGGTCAGTTTGACCTCTGAAAGAGCACACATTTTTCACCATTAAGTTAAAGAGAGTATGTGGCCCCTCTGGGTTAAAGACCACATTGTCCTTGAGCATTGGATAGGCCGGTTGGGCCCAATGAGCTCTAAAACATCTGTTGGGATACAAGAGGTCATGACATACCAAAGCTGAGAAAATTCTCCTAAGAGCCTACAGAGTAACTGCTAGTCAGGTTAAAGTAATATTGGGCATTATCTTAAAATAAGAGACGGTAACATGACATGAGTCCATATGAGGAAACTTCAAAAGCAATAATTATTGCTTGGGTAGTTTTTGAAATTTTCTCACAGAGTTGTAAGTGGAAAGGGATACATCATTTGATATATATATGGGATTTAACAAAAAAAGTCCATATTCAAATACTCGTAGATATGTGGTATTGTCATGACTGACTGGCCTGTAATGAAAAATATGAATTCTTCTGTATATAGATAACATGACATTAGGATGAAGGATTTTCATTAGCCAAATGGATTTCTAAAGAAGGAGTGATGCATACAAATATGGCCTATTCATTCCCTATTTACCTCTACTATTGACTAAATAATGGGAAACATTTTGAGTTGGACTCAAAAAAAAGAGTACATAGGAAGGGGAGACAAAACTCCCCATCCTATGGTTGCTGACCTGTGAACTGCTATGTGTAACCAAATCTTCCACTCAGATATTTACCAACCCTGTGTTGGAATTCTCAGTAAATACAGTGAGTACAGGAGTGGAAGAAACAAATATGGCAATAAAAACTGGAATGAAACATCCAAGAGTAGGAAAACCAGACTGTGCAGTGCAGAACTCCAGGTAAGCCTGTTTGACAGCATTCTGATACTGGTCCCTTCTTTGGCCTGGTGCAGTTAAGTACTAGTACAAAGAGTTATTGATGTTTTTTTTTATCTTCTTTCTTTGGGGAAAGTACAGTAACCACTCTCAACAAAGCAGCTGCACCAGGCCACTTCCTGGAACTGTCCACATTTAATGTTATGCAGAGATAACAACCTCATGGAAGTAGCTAGAACATACTAGACTGTCTTGATATTTGAAGGGCCATCTCTCCTTTTCTATATCTTCCTGAATCTTAAGGTCTGTTGAATCCTCTCATTGCATTGTTCAGAGAAATGAGAGCATTGTGTGGGGATGCTGGAGAAGGCTTTTTTGGCTGTATTCTCTCAGGTGTAGCATGTCCTACTCTTGAAGTCACTGCTGTTAGACTCATTTCATTTTATACTGTTTCTGGATTATTGGATTACACATTCTGGCTGTGTTAAATTATTCTGTGGCTGTTTTCATTGACTATACCTTGATGTGTATCACCTTATTTAATTATTATGCAGAACATATCATATGGAAAGTTAGATTTAGATTCAGAGAAAGACTGCAAGCATAAAAATGGGAGGGGGGAGGGAAGAGGAATATCAACAATTTAAGATGCACAAATATTACTAACAGAAAATAGACTTGGAACAACGACTGAGAAAAGACAAGGAAGACCTGGGAAAAACAGGGTTGTAAATAATTTCTATACATTGGCTCAATCATAAATCCAAATGTAACATGTGATCAAGAAATCAAGAAATGAGAAGAATGTTAGAACTTTTAGAACTTGGACAGGCAGCTCTTGTCCAGCTGGACCTGAACAGTGCTATTGATAATGGCACAACTTGGAGGTCTCTCATTCATGGGATGATGCCAACTTGGTGACAATTAACAACAACCTCCTGTACTGGGATTTTTAAATATAGGGTTCATTCTAAAACAATCTCGACACTATACTTCTGTTAATGCAATCAAGATTTGCTTTTTTTTTTTTTGCCTTTGTTGACTCACATTTAGACTGTAATCTACTAAAACCACTAGATTTCTTTTCCATGAACTATTGCCAAGTCAGGAATCACATATCAAATGTTTGTATAACTACCCCTGTCTTTCTCCACTGAAATGTAGATTCTTACATTCTGCCTTGATAAGATTAATTTTCTTAATTTTGGTCCAGCTTTCATATTTGTAAATACCATTTTCATTCCTGATCCTGTCCTTCTGGGGGTATTTCTCATCCTTCCAAATTTAATGATAGCCTCACATTCAATACTTTCTCTATTTCATCATGTAAGTCAAAAGTGATGGATTCTAGGAGCTGCAGCCTCAAAACTGACCAGAGCTGTTCAGTACTGAATTAATCACATAATGGGCAACATAAAAGACTGCTGTCTGAGAAACTGGAAAACTACTGCCACTTAGATGAGATAATATCTCTAGTTGTGTCATCTGTATATCCAAATGATTACTCATTTCCAGAATGAGCCATGTAACAATATTTTTTGAAAAACCAAAATTCCACTGTAAAAATGAGCCACTATCCATGTAGGAAATTGATGTAAACAGTGAACTGTTTTCTAGAGGACATCACATCAGAATCGTAGTAAACAAGATTGGTCTTCGAACACAATGTAGAGTCTTCTGTATTTCTTTTAATCTTCTTCTACAATGATTAGGCTAACTTCAATCCTGTTTGGAATTTATTATGCTGAAGCACTGTAGTGACTGCCCCAGTACAATCCTTCCTGCAACGGAAGCAGCCGCTATAGTCAATGGGGGTCTGTTTTCCTGTTGCTTGGGGACTAGCTGGCTTCCACCCCATCCCATGAGCAATCTCCATTGCAACAAGCAGAAACTGGTGTTCTATCATCATTTCCCCACACACCAGAAGTATTTCACATTGCTTGGGAAATTGAGAGATTAAAATGTTTGCTGTTTAAAAGTGCGAAAATGATATGTATGACCTTCTGACTTATGGTGACCCCATGAATTCCATAGGGCTTTCTTTTGCAAGGAATACTCGCTGTTTCCTTCCTAGTAGGTCAACAAAAACATTTGCAACATTTTCAGTGTACTTTGTGTTCAGGCTAACAATCCTACCAAAGTAATTAAGGTGATGGGTGGGTTTTGAATAAGGGCTGGTCAGTTTTTATTTTTAATTTCAAAATTTCCAGAGAATGACATTACAGTTGGGAAGTAACAACATAACTAGGTACTGTAGAATAACCACCACATACTTTGATGTTTAGTCAAAGAACACAGTTTGTTTAACCTGCCATAAAAATGCAATGCTTTTTTAGTTGTCAAGAGTATGAAACAGCTTGAGGGTTAATATTGTGAAGGTGTGGTTGTGATGCAAAAGTTCATATACTTATTGAAAATTATCAAGAAGATGTATGTGAAGGAAGGGGTTTTATTAAAAATTAACACATTTGACACATTTTCCAGTAGTAGTACAATTAAAACTCGATAAATGCCAGGTAGTTTGGGTGTTGGACTAGGAGCCTGGAGATCAAAGTTCAAAATCTTATTCAGCCAGGAAAACCTACAAAGTGACTGTGGACAACTCATATACTCTCAGCCCAGAGAAAAGTAATAGCAAAATCCCCTCTGAACAAATTTTATCTTCAGATCTACTATAAGTCAGAAGCTACTTGAAGACGCAATAACAACAGCAGCAGCAACAACAACAACAACAACAGCAACAACATACCTCTTTAGATATTTGCACTAGCTGAGCCTGCCTCAGAGATTTGATATTGTATTTACATATAAGACGTAACTGAAACTTTTGGTCAAATGACAAATAAATGGGCAAAATAGATGTATAAAAAGCAATAAAAAGACATACAAAGGATTCAGGTATGGAACTAGAAACTCCACTGTGGTAGAACTGTATTTTCACAATAACAAAAAAGGTGAAACGGATTTTATTTGACATCAGCTAGCTAAATTGTCTTTAAAGTCTTGCCATTCCAAAACATGTATTTATAGTGGGTCCTTGGTTTGTGCTGGAGTTTGTCTATGGATACCAAATCAATGGATGCTCACGTCCCATTATATAAAGTGATATAGGAAAATGGTCTCCCTTATATAAAATGGCAAAGTCAAGGCTTGCTTTTGGGAATTAAAAAAAAAAAACATTTTCAAGGCTCAGATGACTGAATGCATTGATACAGAATCTGTGGACCCAGAGAGTTAACTATATTCTAGTTCTTCAGATTTAGACAGCTAGGAGCTTGGGTATGTGACAATATATAAACAGCATGACTTGGCAGGGCCAGCCCTACCATTAGGCAGAAATGAAACTAGAGACTGGTTGTTCCTCATGAACTATGTGTTCCTGGTAATGAAGGAAAAAGCTGTACATGCCATATAACCCAATTTATGCTACCTTAGGTGTAATGGATCATGCCTTTCCATGAGAGTGTGGAGGAAAGCTTTAATGGCCCATACAATCAGTTTCCATACAGTGACAAGGATAGGGGTGCCATTTTGTCATTTGCCTCAGGACAGCCCGTATGATGACGATAATATTTAAGAGAAAGTTTCATTTGCCCTAAGTTTGTGTGTGTGCTTAACAAACTCCACTTTATGTAGAACAACAAAATATAAAGGAAATCTGAAACAGAGCAAGTAGTATGTTCTGGAAGTGTCCATTAACTAGAGGAAAGAGGCTTTCATCTCATAACATTATGTACAATGAAGAAAATCTCATGAAAAGAGGCACATGCTTTGATAAAGTACAAAAGATCAAACTATGGAGCTTCAAATTTCCTTTTTATAGGCTGTTGGCCTATTTCACATTCTTCTAATAAAATGTATCAAGAACATATATGTCAAAAAGTGAAGAGAATGTTGAAAATAAGTTCTTTTAATAGATTTGCAAATACAATTCTCCTAAGTTCTGTTGCTTAAAAAAACAAAAGAAAAACCTCCAAAACCAATGGTTCATAAGAATTACATGGACTGGTTTGGCAAAGTACTATAGGATATATGCCATTTTGCTTAGATATCGGTGATCAACAAAAAAGAGGTAGCCCTTAATAGTGTCACAAATGTAGTTCAATGATCAGTGCAACAAACCAACTAACAATCTTTGGAGTCAAATTTTCTAGGGTCATGTAAATAAAATTGTTTCTTGTCTTGCACATGTCGACTGATGATAGGTTCCTTTTAGAAGCTGTTCATACGTTGCAGTGGAAATAAAGGACAACACACAGTCACAGAGAAAAGGGAAATGACTTCAGTAATACTTGATGGAGCATTTCATCTTGAAACATACTTGCTCCAGACAATTGGCTTCAAATTGATTGATGTATTTGGAGTCGGGTCTTCCTGCATTGCTACCTCTAGGCATTGCATACTCAACCAATGGTGTTTAACACAGAGACAATTATTTCTGCACACAGAGTAGATGATTCATTTTCCAGCTTGTGGGTATCAAAGCCTGTTTGAAATGCCGAATGAGAAGGGGACTACTTTGCAAAAGGGAAGGAAGGGTTCAAGAGAGATCTTCAGAACATCCAGTGGAAAATGCATCACACAGCCATCACGTTACCAAAAGCAAATAAATCTTTCATGGACAACAAATAGACCAGACACTGCTTATATTAATATTCAATTCGGCTCCAGTAGAACATCGTACAAAGAAGGACCCAGGTCTGAAAGGAAAGGAAAATGATTTAGAAAGAGCCACACATTCTGCCATGACCACATTTTATTTATGCCTCTACTGCAAACTTTTCCCTTAAAACTTTGGCAACTGGAAAAGCCAGCTGGCATGCAAACAGTATATTAACCAGAATGGACTAAACCCTGGGCTGCAGATAATATACTCTGTGTGTGTGTGTGTGTGTGTGTGTGTATTCATGTATAACAAAAAACTTCAGCCCCAAAATCCTGTGTTAAATTATCCACAAGTCAGTATAAGCAGCATTGTCCCTTAACTCTAATTGTAAAAAAGAATTATCTCCTTCTCTGAATAGTGGTGAAAGCTGAGAGTCCAAGATGGACTGGAAGAATCTAAATGAAGCACCAACCCCCCTCTACTTTCTCCATCTTGGCACTACTTCTGGCCTTTCTCAAAGCCTGGATGAGAAAGTCACACTAGAAGTGGTCTGGCATGGCTGGCCTCCTGAAGTAGGGCCATGGGTCATATCAAAATCCCCAATTTTGCTTCAAAATCTGCTGTCAACTCATACATGAGATTGACTTACACATGAGTATATACAGTGGTATGCTCAGAGTTGTAATTCTTACAGGATGGAGAAATTCAAATGAAAATGATAGAAATATCATTCAACCATGATTATTTTATAGGCAGAATTGACCTTTGATGTCTCATGTAGCTTATGTTTGATAAGGTAGGATGGATGGAGATGAATTACAACTGTAGGAATAGTGTCCAAATCATGACTAATATTTAATGAATTTGAAACAGTTAACTAACTGCAAAATGAGACAGTTAACTAACCATAATTTTTATATTGATGAATGCTACACAGTTTTGATTTTGACACTATATGACCAACTGACAGGGCTATTTTTTGGTGAGGGAGGGAGGCACGGTGGGGGCGGAGAGTAGACAAATTATTTGGTATTTGAGTTATGTTTAAGCTGATAATTGGGGAAATATCCATAAATGATCTAGGACTGTCAATCTTTGCAGGCCTTTCTTCTAAAACTAAGGTAGATCATATAGTTCTGTTATGCTAACATGAAACCAGCATTCTTTATTTTTTGTTTCTTCCAAGGTACAAAAGTATTTGTCTTATGTTCTGGTTATTTCTAGACAGAACAATGCAAGACATTCCCTCTGGTTAGACTGTGCTGCTACAAACATCTTCCAGAAGATCATGCAAATCTGGCCATCCTGCACACATATCAGAAAAAGTTACTTTTTAAAGATGGCTCTTGGAGCAACTGGAGCAACTTTGTGATTCTTGAGACTAGTGACAGATTCCTGCATTTGGAGTTCTTATGCTATGTATAACTATTTAGGATCTCAGCCATTAAATATTTTGATGTTTAATGTTTCCAATGTTTTTATTATCTAATATCTTTTTAATGTTGTGTGTTAGCTGCCTGAATTGCCTTTTTGAAATGGAAGAGCAGGATAACAACAACAAACAAACAACTGTGATGGCTGCAGTTCTGATTACTGTTCAATTTAGCTTTCTTCAGCCCAAATCTAACATCTCATTTGCTGTCCACATTTTTATGTTTATGACCATCATTTATGTGACATGCCTACCACATTTTTGCCTACATTACTATGATTAGTCAAAAACCAGTTTCCCCACATTTATTGAAATATCTTGCTAGAGGTCCTTCATGTTTACATTGAGACTTGTTATACTGGTCTAGGCACTGCGTAAAAGTGGAATGCTGTTGCAATTGGCCTGGGAGGACACACTGAACAAAGTGGGTATTGCAAACCAGTTATCCTGGACACAAGAGGCTTATCTGACCTTAAACTGGCTCAAACAAAGCTTTAAATCATAGGACTAATCCCAGAACAGTTGGGGAAATTTTGTAGAATCTTCCCAGGTACCACTCTCAAACAAATAAGCAATATCATTTTCCAGTGTATGTCTAATGTCCAACTACCAATAAAGAGAATAGTATCAGTGAAAAACAAATATATAAGGAATACAGATATGTATCACTGATATACTGCCAGATTACAAAGTATGGCATATAGATATAAGTCAATATCATGTATAAATCAAGGGCAGATTTTGATGTCAAAATTATGGATTTTGATATGATCCAGGGGTAAACTGAGGGCCATCTCACCACTTCCCCAACTACGCACTCAAAACTGCCAGAGGGAAGAGTAGAGAGGGTTGATGTTCTCCTGTGATTGACTAAGCTTTTGCTTTGTACCACTCCACTCAGAGAAGGAGATGCTCCTTTTTTGAAAATAAAGTATAGTACGCACATTGACCTGTAGATATGTTAACCCAGTTTTTTGATTGATTTTTTATTACAATTTCTAGATATATACAAGAATGTATTGGGTACTATGAGCAAGAAATACATTTTTACAGAAGCAGTTGACACTCATCATTTAAACTAGAAAAAGGGTGAAAAGTAGGCAGTAACAAGGAAGGAGTGTATATAAAATGCTTTTCTATGTGCTTTTGCTTCAGTTGAGAATGAGGTTGTCTTCCATAAAAATATATATAGTGGGAGGGGGACAGAGCATTATTGTGGTAATATTTATTTTATTTAAAATATTTTTATATTGTTCTTTATTAATAAAATTATGGAGCACTGTATAACAATGAAACTAGCTAAATAAAAAGTAGAAAGTAGAAATGACTAACAGCAATTTATGCTACTGAGGGGAGCACACAGTCATATCATCCTAATCAGTACAACAACAAAGATTTAGCTCCTGGCAATTTAAGCTTCCTCAAGAGGCTCTAAAGGAATTAAGTGTGACTATACAAAGGCTCTGAAGCAAAAAAGGCAAACACAGAAGCTAAAGCTTAGGTAGCAAAAATAATCTGATTTTTATCATTTTCCTACAGAATGAATTTGCAGAGATGAATTTAAATATCAAAGAACAATGGTCAGAATCTTGCAGGGTAGTTACATTCTCATTATTGTGTGCTATTCACAATCCTTATGTAGCTCCTAGTTTAAGAGGATGTGCAGAGACTGTGAAAGGGCCCCAATCCCAACTAACTGGGAAGCAGCTGCTGTGATAGATGGGGTTTTGTTGCTCTGTCACAAGGGAAGTAGCTGACTAATGTTTTTATCCTCCATATGTGAGAAATCTTTAGTATGAAAGGAAATTGCAAAAGGGTCCCAGCTTCTAGTGGAGGTTATACATGAGAGGGAATGGAAATTTCAATCTGTGGTTTACTGAAGGAGAGGGGAATAATACCTGCTGATCATAGTGGCTGCTTCCCAATTATTCAAATGGGGATTAGATTGGGCCAGAAGTCATTGTGTAACTCCACAACTATAGTGCACATTTGCAACAACCCAATATTTTTGAGTGGAGAAAGAATTGTTTGTTTTTTTCAAGAAAAATCTATATCAATATAAAAAAGAAGAGGAGAGAAGTCTTCTGTACTATTAAGACTAAAATATTTATCCTAGAATTGGCTACTTCACCTCATTCCCTCCCACACTGTCTTCTTTTTATACAGATGGAAAAGGTATCTACCTCAATTTATCCATTTACTAGACCTAATGAAACTATTACCAGAAGATAGCATATGTATTTTTGGTTTCTGATCTGTGAAAGGAAGCTTCTAGTGTCAGATTATACTTTAACTAGAATTATATGTAAACTATATAAACCCCCCACCAGGCACACTACCCTACTCATCCATCTCACCCAGGGTTTTTTAAATTTCATAATTTTATTCCTTGTAACTGGCCCAGCCTGCCATGTTCATTTTATTATTTATTTTCATTTCTTATCTTTGACTTTGCATTAATTTGCTGTTTATTTTTACTGATGTTATTATTTACTGTATGTATTTGATTTTGATTTTTTGTAATTGTTGGGCTTGGCCTCATGTTAGCTGCCCCGAGTCCCCTCTGGGGAGATGGTAGTGGGGCATAAATAAAGTTATTATTATTATTATTATTATTATTATTAAACCAATACTTATTATTAAAAATGCATGCTTGTTTAAATTGTGAATCCACTTGCATTAATCAGTGAAAAGGATTCAATAAAATATGTGCATTAAAAAGGGAGCTTCATAACCCCCATTAATTTCCTTTCAAGAAGGGGATGAGTAATCTTGTAAATCTTGTAAATCAACAGGGAACTTCTGAGAAAAAAACAAGATTGACACATTTTTTATGTCAAAACCCATCCATTGTTTCAGTTGGTAATAAATAACAAGTCTGAATGGGAACAACTTGTATGCCTTCAGAGTTAAGAGAAAGCTGCACATATGACATATAATAAATTAAAAACTGTTAGAAACTTACAGCCCAGCAAAGAACGGCAAATCCATACCAGGCAACACCCCAAGCATGTCTGTTCATTGGACCAGAAATGGTATCATAGCAGCCCTGAGAGAAGAACAAATTGGAGTGTCAATTCAGGCAACCAAAAAATATACTGTATTTAAAGAAATTTCAAATCTGCATTGTGGTGCTTGTCCACTTAGAGATCTAGATTGAGTGGGAACAATGTGAACAGGAGCATAGATAAAAAACTGAACAATTGAAAATGCTTTCAGAATGCACCCTGTCACGACAACAGAATGTACTGTCTCCACTACATATTACTCTGAGGTTTCTCAGACTCTGAACACACTGGTGTAATCATCAAGGTTAAAGAAAGGACGCCACTGCATATGTTAGGTAAAGCCTGCTTACAATATGTTCTTTGAGCAAGAGAGAAATCGCATCACTGAGACATAATCCACAATGTTAAACTCCAAAATGTCAGGTTCTACTTCTTAAATATACAGTAAAGGCCATGTGGGTTGTAGCACTGGATAAGTTTTATCCAGGGGCTACAATCACATGGCCAAGAGAAGTGGCTATCGTGTTTTCTCTCGTGATATTCTATTCCTTTCCCCATGATTTCCTTTTGCCATCTCCTCCCATACTCAGTACCCTCAGTATATGACCCTCATTGTTTTAAGTTCTCTTCTGTCCCCATGATATAAATGCAAATTGTGTGATTCCCCAAGCCTGCTGTGATCATATCTCATTCAACAAGAGTCTTCAGACACCTTACTAACCTGGCAAATTAATTTTAGTATCACCAAGTCCAGTCAGGTGAACTGAAACTTAAGTCTGAAAACAAGGATGACAAAATCAATTTGATGGTCTTCAAGGTGCTTGAAGGGGGTTTGGTTTTATATTATTATTGTAATCTAGTTGCCTCACATTTAAAAACAGCTTCATGAAGCAATATGCTTTAAATATTTTCTCAGGTCATAATCATAACAAGCAAAGAAGGTACATGTCAATCTTTTAATTTTTTAGTAGTCTTGGGGAAAAATCTACTGAGCGACAGGAGGAGGAGAAGATGACTTGTAGGAAACCAAATCTTTATAAATTTCATCCTTATCAACAAATACAAATAATATTTCAGTCTACACCCCCTGCAAGAAAATCCCTCAAAATAACAGTTTTTGAGAATTTTTCACAGTTTGGAATTTAATCTGCAGAAAAATACATGTAGGGGTTGCGTGGATTTAGGAAGGGCAATTTCTGGGTTGAAAAAAGCCCTGAACTGTGAAGATTTTGATTGGCTCAGGATTCTCCTAATCAGAGTTTCACAACTTTCAGATACCCAGTTTTCATCCATTATTCAAATATGTTGGAATATTTTTTTCATTCCTAGAGACAAACAACTTGATTTAAGAATTAACCTTTTGCAATGCTGTTCCATTTAAGAATATAAGAGTAGCACCCATGCTGGGTCAGACCAAATATCTATCTGTCTTGTGTTGTCTTTCCACACTAGTAAATTAGATGTTCCAGGAAGCCCACTAGCACAACATGAATGCAATAGCATACTCATGCTTGCGTTCTCCGGCAACTGGTAACAGAGGAATTCTGCCACTGATACTGGAGGTAATATATACATGCGGAATAGTCATAGATAGCTGTATTGTCCATGAATTGGGCTTTTTTTTTTTGTCGTGTCAGGAGAATCCTGTTGTGAGAGAATTGGCCATCTGCAAGGACATTGCCCAGGGGACGCCCAGATGATTTTGATGTTTTATCATCCTTGTGGGAGGCTTCTCTCATGTCCCTGCATGAGGAGCTGGAGCTGATAGAGGGAGCTCATCCGCCTCTCCCCGGATTCGAACCTGTGACCTGTCGGTCTTCAGTCATGCCGGCACAGGGCTTTAACCCACTGCGCCACCGGGGGCTCCTACATGAATTGGGCTAATACCCTTCTTAAAACACCCACTTTGGTGGCCACTACTATAAATTGCATAGTTTTAAGTATGTGTTGTGAGAATCTTCTGCCACCAAGTTTCACCGGAAGACTGTGGCTCAAAGTGTTATGGGATAGGAAGAAAATCTACATTATATAATTTTTACATTGTCAAATTTATGATGTTCTCCCATCTACTTATCTTCCATCCCTAAATTAAACAACTCTACATACTGTAAGCTTTTTTCACAGGTGCATTACTCCAACCCTTCGAGCATTTTGTTGATCATCAACCTTTTCGCAGCTCTACAATATCTTTTTGAAGTGTAGATACTAAAGTCAAAGATGGTTGAACCAGCGATGTCCATTGTGTCTTTATGAGTTTGACAGTTTTAGGACTGATTTATTTCCTAATACTCTGAATGTAGTTGTTGGTTGCTCTCTCAGTTAGTCATAGTCAAATCAAGGAATAATCAAAATGTCAGCATTTCAATTACTGCAAAATCAGGATCAAGATGAAGTACTTACTGTTTCATGGTAATACCCAGTCACTCCCAATTTGCAGCCATCTAAGTTGGTTGGCTTTCCTAGGACATCTATAACACAGCACTGCCGTGGCCAGGGAAAGTCTGCATCATTGCTCACTGTCCTGAAAACAGAGGTATAGTTCTGCCAGTCTCTTGGGCCAGTCACACCACAGCAATTATCCTGGGTTGATAGGAAAGTTGTTTGTTAGGGGTATAGGAATTAAATGCATTATTTTGTCATATAAACTACAGCAGAGAGGAATTAACTGAGAAGGAACGAAATGAAGTGCAGCCTGTGATCGGCTCACATCTAGTAAACTGGCATCTCTTATTCTCCACAGGGGGCAATGCCATCAGAATGTAGCAGTACTACACTGAATGGCAAAACCCTATCAATAGTCTTTTAATGTATTGTCGAAGGCTTTCATGGCTGGAATCACTAGGTTCTTGTGGGTTTTTTCGGGCTATAGAGCCATGTTCTAGAGGAATTTCTCCTGACGTTTCGCCTGCATCTATGGCAAGCATCCTCAGAGGTAGAGGTCTGTTGGAATTAGGACAATGGGTTTATATATCTGTGGAATGGCTGGGGTGGGGCAAGGAGCTCTTCCCTGCTGCAATTAGGTGTGAATGTTTAGCTGATCACCTTCATTAGCATTTGAAGGCCTGCCTGAACCTGGGAAAATCTGTTGCTGGGAGGTGTTAATCTGTGCCTGGTTTTTTCCTCTCTGTTGTTTAGCTGTTATAATTTTAGAGTTTTTTAATACTGGTAGCCAGATTTTGTTCATTTTCATGGTCTCTTCCTTTCTGTTGAAATTGTCCACATGCTTGTGGATTTCAATGGCCTTCTCTGTGTAGTCTGACATGGTGGTTGTTGGTGTGGTCCAGCATTTCTGTGTTCTCAAATAATATGCTGTGTCCAGGCTGGTTCATCAGGTGCTCTGCTATGGCTGACTAATAGTCTTTTAGATGAAGGGTTCCTTGGGTAGGTGATTTTACAGGATGTTACTATTAGACTCATATCACTGGAAACAAATGAACAAAAATAACTTTGAATTCAAACAAATTTTCCAATTCATGGATAATATTCAAAAGTAACCCCATAATTCCACATTATGAAATTTGTAAGTCAATAATGTTGAACGGATGACATAAATTATCCAAAGGACTCAGGCCAAATCTTTGTAACCTCCTACATGTTAGAAATCCAAACAAATTTTAATCCTATGGATGGTCATGAATTAAGCATCTAGGGTTTCAGCTTCAGTTTAGGTTAGCTACGACATCCCAATCATTTCATTCAGCAGTATCAATGTTGTTTTATATCTAAACAGAATCTAAGTGTGTATTGTGTGATATAAGTGAAGGGAAGATAATAAAGAGAAGAGATATAAAATTTCAATTAGGCTTTTTTGAGGCTTTGCAATATCAAAAAAATGTAATTATAAAAAATACTGTAAGTAAATGAACAAAGAACAGCAAGAAACATATGCAGAACTAGGAAATATTACTCTTTTGACCACTGGCTAAACTTCTAGAGTGAAGTTATAGCCTCCAAAAGTAATTTTCTGAAGATCAGTATAAAATATGGATAAACACAACACTGAAGTGCTATTCTTGTGTTACATATACTGGTAAGGTTTACTGACAACTAGGGTGCTGCTTTACCCTAATATCATGTACATCAAGTAGAGATTCCCCAGAACATCTGTGTGAATATCCACAGGAAGAACCATGTAGGATCATTCCAAGACATTTTGCTGCCTGAGGCAAAGTATACATGCCTATAATAGCCTCCATTCATATCAGAATTCCAAAAATACTCATTCTACAGATGCATGCATAGATGCCAAGGGAAGGGACATTTGGCTTGCATTATATTGAGGGAGAAACAGCTTGACATGCTGGACTCACATAGTCTTTCCATCAAGAATTACAATGCTGAGCAAGACTTCAGAAATTTGTCAAAAGCCTTAGAAGAATTAAGTTGTTACAAAATTTTCATTCTTAACATTCTAGAAAACATAGCTGTGTATGTTCAGTAGGAACTTTTTCATTTAAAAGACAGAAAAAACAAAATCATTAAAAGTCCTGAAATATTTTGGAAAGCATTCTGAATGCTTCAAAGGGCTACATGCCTCCAGGCAATCTACAAGTTAGCCATACCAGCACCATAAGACGGTTCCATGTCCTGGTGATACCATCACTCTTCCATCTGTCATCATTGTTGACTGGATTTGGATTCTGATATTTCTCCAACATTTGCTTCATGAAGAGGTTGGGTGTGAGCTGCACAGCAATAAATGAGGAGAGGAAATATTAGAGTTAAACGGACTCCTTGCCTTCAAAAACATAACGGCTTTTGAGAGACAGGGGTTTTGAGCAGTAATGAGGGCTGGGAGAAAAAGACCCCAACCACCCAACATTTGAGGTTGTGGTTGTGTAGGTGTGTTTGGGCTGAGTTTTGTGCCAATTTCTTATGAGGGAGGGGCTTTGGGACTTCAAAATAGGGTCCCCGGGGCAATATTTAGCTTGTGGATCATACTTTTCCCCAGCACTGCTTCTCTGGGTACTCAAGTAGGGAGATTTCATTTTCTTTGACCTAAAAAAGATTACCTTGCAGTAATTAAAATATAATATTTAATTTAAATCCTTACCTCCCACAAACACCCCCTTCACTATAATCTGTATTTCTGTTTACAGTTTTAAACTTTTAGCAGAATTGTGTCCCAATTCTGTATCTTGTGAACCTCAAGCCTGGAGCTGAAAACATTTGAGAGAACAGAGGAGCGCAGACAAACGTTGTAGTACTTACGAAGTCTCGATGCACTACAGCTGTGATGCTAGAGGCAACTTCAAAGGCAAAGACAACCATCATCAGGAGGATATACTGAAAACAAAACAAAATACACACCACCTGTCACACAGAAGAATGTTGAGCATACTTACATTTCAGGTTTTGATCTACAAGGGAAAGAAATAATTCTTCCAAGAAAAGTTTTTACTTTTGCTTTCTCTATCAATCCAAAGAGAAAAATGTGATATAGGTGTGACAACATACAGCCTACATATGGTCCTCTCAGTTTTGTTCTTTCAGCCTCCGAAGTTTCCCACAACCCATCCTTAAATTGAGGCAAGAGGGTTCAAATGTATATATTGCCCCCAAATGGCTCATAACATTTATGAGTCATTTCACAACATTTTATAAAATGTTTTGGTTCTTACCCAGACTTTTTTTTGGCAGGGGGGAGGTCCTAAAAAGCAAGGAAGTGGACCACCACATATTTAATGAAATAACCCCATAAATGCCCCCTCTTTCACACCATAGGGACACTATGGACCATTTGGTAACAAAACAATTTTGGACTATCTAAACCTGGAGGAACATGCAAGGCATGGAGATAAAGTTATGTGGGGTTGTATGTGTGGCTATTTCTCCAATGGTCAGTAGCAGGCTGCTAGCTCCTGGAAGTCATCTACAACCAAATTAGTTTCAGAAGCAGGAGTGAAGACTTTTTCATCTATATAGACAAAGAGACTAGCAATGTATAATTCAATTGTTCTCCTTACTCTGTACCATCACAAATAAGATTCCGCACTCTCATCTCGAAAATGTTGACATTCCTTAATATAGTAAGCTGCCAGAAAGTGTCTCAGGGCTGTTTACACTTGTGTCAACAGGACACCTTTAGCTGGGCAGTCCACATCTCAAATTATTCAACTATGAATAGCCTTGCTTTGTCTGGCTCTCAGATGCTTTCAGGGGGATTTCCAAGTATTTCCCTTTTGGATGGATGGTTTCTGGGTGGTGTTAGTATTTTGTTTACTGGAGGCCTTCCCAGTATTGCTTTCTGGTAGTTTCCATGCTCTGATATGAAATTTTAACCATTTCAGGATGACTTGCCCACTCTATAACAGAAGCATGGGATTCTTTCTTTGCATTTTACTCAGAAATGCTAAATATATGGTCACTTTTCTTGGAACGACTTGAGATTTGATCTAATAGAAATTAGCACCCCAAATCCTCTTAATCGACTGTCATTTTCCTTATCTCCTCTTTTACTTTGTAAAGGTCTAGTGAATGTACATTTACTGGTTGCATAGACACCTTAACTATAATTATGTCTTACTTGTGGGATCATTGGAAAGTGTGGGAGGATACCAGTGTCAATAAGGTGGGAGTTGAGTTGAGAATGAACCTATTTCTATACATTTAAAAGCAATAAAACTTTAAATTAGACATATCTGTATTGGCAGTCTTTTTTACCATTTTTATGCCATCTATGGCATGAAAATTCAATAAGTCTATAGTGTCAATAGCTCAGTCAGACATGCAGGTTATCCCGTTAGGCTGGAGAAGTACTAATCAGCAGTTGTGCAAGCTAATACTTTGATAAACCTTCTTCCACGTAACAGGTTCCTTTCAAGCTCTGGGAGAGACATCCTATTACATGGGGATCCTTTATAAATGAAACTAGAGAAAAATATCTGACTACAAATAACACTCTCTCTCCATTTCTCATAGCAGAATTTGGTAAAAGTTTATTCCATATTGTGGAAACTATTCCTAACCCAGGAGCGGTTGTGTTACAATCAAATTAAACATTTTAAAAGGAGTTTCTAATGAACATCCATTTATTACAGAATAATAGTGACTTATCTCATAAAGAGCAGCTGAACACACAACAGATTTATCCAGTAAAATAAAAAAAATCTTCCCGGACACATTCACTTCATTGACAAAACTGAGTTTTGTGAGATGTTGGTGACAAGATACAGGACATTACCTGCTTCAGCTAAAATGAAATTTCTCTTTTTTTGCCAGAATAATTGACAGCAAACTATGCATATATATCTCTAACTTGGGGAAAAATTAGTTTCTAGTTCTTCTTTGCTAGAACTGTGACAACGTGGAAGCTGGAGCAGTGAGTTTAATTTGTTGAGAAAGTGCTAATACCTATGATTATTGTAGTTTTTGCAATTCTACAGACATATTACTTTGACAGCCTAGGTATTGCTTTCTCCCACATAATCATCACTGTCAGGAAGTGCCTGACACTAAAAGCTGCTTAACAGTAGATTAACATGTTGGACTATCTTTTATTGGAGGTTTTGAAACAGAGGTTAGATGGCCATCTGCTCAGGATTCCTTAACTATACTTGTGAATCTATAATTCTGTGATTCTGTAACTCCTTCTTGGGGAAAAGGTCAAGCATGCAGGAACTCTAAGTTGGCTGGTATCATACATCAGTGACTGTTAGCCTTTGGTCCTTCAAAATGTTGGTCTTCGGTTATCATGGTTTCTGAACTTTGGCTATACTAGCTGAACTTCAAAACATTTAGAGAACAAAAGGTTGAAAAGCACTGTCCTTAGATTATTGAGAAGACACAATATTATTTTCTATCCAACTTACCACCAGTAACATTGTTCTATTTGACTTCAAGACACCAACAATGCCCAGGACAGCAAGACAGAAGAAACAGAAACCAGTGAAGATCCCAATCCAGGCAGCTCCAAAGATGTCATCATTGTCAGTAGCTTCCAGTAATGGGTACACTGAGTGTTGATCTGAGACGAAGTATATGCACTCCGCCATCAGTGCAAGGCCACAACACTGAGAACCAAAGACACAAATGGGAGTCATCCTAAGACAGCATTTTTTGTGGGTTTTTTTTGTTAGGGAGGGAACTATTGTCCCCTAAATCCTCAAATACATTGTTCAAAACTTGCACTTAATCCTTTTGTTATTCCAGATCAAATATTGCTTGCACAAACTTGTGAGTAGGGATGTAAATCTTCATTTTTTTCAGTTCACATACAAAAGAAGAACTGATATTTATGCTTTGAGCCTTGATTGGATTAAATTCTTTTGTTCAAATATATGTGTGCTAATGAGTATTCTTCTCATTCCTTCTTGTGAGCAGAAGAACAAAAGATTACTGGTGGGGTCTACCTTTATCTTTACATATTACACTGAGTTATCTCTGAATTTTGTTGAATAAATATTTCTGCTTCCCTTAAACAAGCAGAATGTTAACTACTTAGACTTGGACTAAATGTCACAGGACCACTTTTATCCCAGCTATTCTTGCTCCACTCCACTTACACTTTTCTTAAGTGCTGATGTCAGGTGTACATTATCTTTCATCTCTGGGCAAACCATTTGATAAACAGAGATATGTTCCATTAGGTGGTAAAAAATTATTATCCTCATCTTTACATGGTAATCTAGGGTGCTTTCATTTGTAATTGGATAAATATGGAAGTCCGATTGCTGAAGCATGTATTTCTAAGTAAACTTTATGTCCAAAAAAAAGGATATTCTTAGGGAATTTGCATTCCCCTTATTGTCCCATTTGACGTTCTGTTACTTAAGGGAATGTGGAGTACATTTTCGTACATTGTTGTACTAAATTGGAGGGAGTTTCAACATTTTATACCACCCTTTGCCTCCAGAAGTGGAAACTATATTTATTTGTACATTTTTAAAATGCTTTTTTTAAAGTATGCAAATCAAGTTTCCTGTAACAAATAACAAATCACTTGCATTTTGCGTAAATGTTTGCTTGAGTTAATATGCATAAAACTTGTACAGGAGAGGCTAAAACAATGAAAAATGGCACCACATCCTCATTTTCTTGGCTAGAAAATGCCTTTTTCAAAGCCTGGTAATCCCTCTTGTTGCCAAGTACCAGAAAATTGACTAAGTTTTTACACCCCTAATTTGCAAGTTCTAGAAATCTAGAGATATGCATATAGACACCAAACCTTTGAATGAGTGCCTTCCACTTTTGTAGAGATTAAAGATGCAGGTCAAATTGGAAAAAAAAACACAAATAAAAAATCTCTTATTTTACCTTCCAGTTAGCCCTCCAGGTGTTTTAGACTTCAGCTCCCAGAATTCCTGACAAGCTGGCTAGAGCTTCTGGGAGTTGAAGTTCCAAACATCTGGAGGGCCACAGGCTGTGCAGGCCTGACCTAGAAGTTCCTAGAAAGATGTTCTCTCTAAAATATCTAAGTCCTCCGGAATGACTACATGGTCAACTTTCTCTGGTTGTGCTGAAGACCTAAAGATTTCTACAGAGAACTTAATATTCAAATCTGTGAATAATCTATTAAACCTACAAGCATGGGAGGCTGATTATATCCATATCCATTACTGATATTGGTGCTCTGAGATTACATTGTTGAAATTCACTTACCCCCAAAATAACATTCCCCATGATCAGTAGGGCTTGGAAGCATCTCACCCCAGTATCACCTTTTGCCATTTTAAACTTGTCTTGCAATCTAGAAGAGAGTGACAAATTTATCAGCATTGTAGATCAGCACCTTTCCTATCTTTACAAGCCACGCCGAAACTTCTTCAATAGAGTAGATCTGGTACCGGATAGAATCATCATAAATTTGCATCAGAATAACTTATCCATGTAACATTTTATTGGGCATTCCTATAACCAGCATTGCATGTTCTGCTTATTCCTGCCTTTGGAAGATAGAAATGATATAGCACATCAGGTAAATTTATGGGATCTATTTAAAAGTACACCCAGAAATAATATGAAACCTAGCAGAATAACAAAATAAACAGGAAATGCCCTTTATATTGGACCAAATGTTACCTAGAACAGTGCATTCAAAGTCATGGTCCATGGAACCATCGCAGTCTATAAACCGCTGCATGCTTGTTTGTGGAAGGAGAAGAATGCATCAGTTGTAGCTAATGAACTCAAATATAAAATGGTGTAAGTCCTTGGCACAATGGGAGGGGAAAAACAGGTTCATCATATGAGATAGCTTAAGAAGCACTGATCTAGAAAACCGGGTTTATTTTCAGGTAAATAATGACTATACACAGGGTTAAATATATCAGATCTCTATATAAATCAAGCCAAGGAGTAGAAAGTTCCATGAACATCAAGGTCATTCTGTATGAGCCAGACAGCCTACCACAGATGGAAGAGAGTAAATGGATAGACATACGCTCAATTGCATGCTGTAATCATGAAGGTGCTCTTTTAATTAGGGTAGGCAACTGCTAAGTAATTGGGAGATTTGACCACCAGTTTTATATGCCTCCAGATCTCTCTTTTTGAAGGTGGGAATCGGATATTTGAATTCCCACCATGAAATTAAAAGACCAGACACAGGAAAATGGATCTAAAGCAGGCATGGGCAACTTTGGCCCTCCAGGTGTTTGGGACATCAACTCCCACAATTGCTAACAGCCTAATGGTTGTTGAATTCCAAAACACCCGGAGAGCCAAAGTTTGCTCATGTCATTTATTTATGTATTTCACTTCTGGAAAAGCCTGTGAACAAAAAAAAAAAACATTAAAGGGAATTCGCCTTTAGTGAGCTAGTGAGCTAGTCACCTAGTGAGAACTGTACTCTGGCTAGGTGTCAAACCCTCTAACCACGTCCTAGGACATGCAAACACCATAGATTTCAAAGGCCACCCAAAATTCTTTAGCTGAACCTCTTGGCCAATCATCATTAGGAGGCCATTTTGAGGGCACTCCCTCTCAAACCCCATAGTTTTTAAGAGTAAGAACCTTTATTCCAGTCCCAAGGGTAACCCCCTTTGACAGCTCTCCCCATCCCCAAAACTCATGGAAACCATGGCAGGGAAGCCTACTTAAGTGGTTCCACCCCAAGCCAATTACCACACCCAGCCAAAACACTTCAGGAGAAAACATTTCTACTTGGTTTGTATGCGACCAGTTTTCCCTCACACTGTCCTTAGGGTGGGAGGGTGGATCACAAAGGATAGAAGACAGGCGGGGCATGGCAGGGCGTGGCGGGGGGCATCTTCCCTTAAATAGGCTGACAGTTTGCCCTTTGTCATGTGATTGGGGCTGGTGAAGCCACCCAGCTTCCAAACAACTCTGGCCTCCTCCATGGCTATCAGCTTGGGGTGGGGAAGCTACAAACAAAACAGAAGCAATTTGGGGCCCAAAGAAGTGTGTCCTCAAAGTGCTAGTGTTAAATTGTGACTGAGATCACTAGAATTAATATATTTGCCAACTAGTTAGTCAATATGCCCAACTGTTAAAACATCTAGTGTTAGTGTTAGGTTTAAAATGGCACTCAGCATTTCTATGTATCTTGCACAGTCAGCAAGTGTGGTGAGACTGGGAGATGATTTCCATTCCTGCCTCCACACTCAACAAGCTGCACTGTTACTTTTCCATATGAAAATTGAATGAAAATGTAGTGTAAAAGTGTCAGGAAATCATTTCCAGATTTAACTGAATTCTTGGTTGTTGTTTTGCTGCTTTATTATGGAGTGGCAACCATGGGATATAAAAAAGGTATTAATAAACACATGTAGAATGGTTCTGCACCATTTTCCATGATTGTTAAGAGCTTTTAAGCTCCTCCACCATTTTTTAAAAAGTCTGGTGGACAAACTTTACCCACTTTTTGATTGATGATAACCTTGGATCAGCCCCTGTCAAATAAAAAATTGAACAGCTCAAAGGTGTTCAAAACTTGAAAATCTGGGACAATGCTCTAAACTTTCTAGATTAAAATTTCCACACAAACATAGACATGAATCATATATAATGAGAAGTTGGTGAACAGACGAATGATTCAGAATTTTTAAACAAACTACATAAGGATAAATTCACTGTATAGATAGAAGTTGACAGCAATGGGTTGTCCCACCCTACTCATTACATGAGACCTCATCAGATGGTATGAAGCTACAAAGGCAGAATTACAGCCTAAGCAATTGCCTTTCCCTACTGCCACGCTACTATAATTTTGACACAGAGCCTATACTTTGGCCTTTTTAAAGAATATAATTCCTAAATCAAACTACCTACATTGGCTTTGATGTCATACCATTGCCACCAAGTCTATAGCTGTGACATATGTGAGTTTTCCCACATATCCTCATGCCCACGTTCAACCTAGAAGGCGCCTTCTACACTGGACTATGGCTTCTGCTGCATGGTTGAAAATGTCACGTCCCATTTCACAGTAGATACCCTGAAGCAAACCTGACTCAACCTTTTGAGTGGGAAACTCACACCCATACCAAAAAATGAGAAATATGCCACAAAATATACGAAAGAACAAGCCCAAGAAGAGAATGTGAACAAACAGTTGCAGCTAGAAGATAGGAAACCAGGAAACTGACATTCTAATTGCATTTTTCAAAATCCTGACACTTTCGACTTCACATTCCAGTCCCAAACATTCTCAAAAGAATGTACATGGACTCCTAGATGCCCACATTGGCAGAGCGCATAGATTTAACAAGCTCAGTGTTCTATTTAAATCAAAGGAATTTGTTCTCTGTTTCAACTGGGACTCACCATACCCTGTCGTGAACAGGAACAATCTGGTGTGGACTCAAGATAGGTCAGCATTAACTAAGGTTGCTACATTGTTCATGAACAGAACCTTTGTTAAATTCAATGGGTGAAACCTTTCCAGTGTAGATAAGAATGTCATAAGCTACCCCATCAATAGTTGTCCATTTTACAACTCTTATCCATTAAATAAAGATGTAGTTCATTTGTTATTGGGCCAACTCCAATCAACCCTATCTAACAGAACCAAGAGTAAGGAATGCTTTCTCGTAATATATGATCCTGCCTACTAAAAAGCGTGAAACATTATGTGGCAAAGGACATTAGTGAGTCCACAGATTGGCATGAATTCAGAACATGGCCCACTATAAAGGAGACTACATAGAAAATAACTATTGAGAAATTATTTCCCTGGTCCTGATACAGCAATGTTTTAAGACGTTTTTTTTCTCAAGGTATCTATTGGGTTGTTGTAGGTGTTTTGGGCTGTATGGCCATGTTCTAGAGGCATTCTCTCCTGATGTTTTGCCAGGCCATGAAAGCCTTCGACAATACCAGGTATATACTGTTCCCAAGTTTAGATCCCCAGATGTAGCTCCCCCATAAAGGCCCATAGTGAGAGATCCTGAATTCTATTCCAACCATATCTGGAATCGCACAAGTTGGGAACCATGCCATAGAACATTTTTGAAAGGCAACGTGCATTTACTAATGAAGAAGGGGAGACATAGTATACAAAGTTTTTCTATACAGGATTTAACTGTAGTTATGATCACTGAGTTGAAGACATTTCATATTTTAACAGGAGAAGTAACTAAACTCCTGTCAACTATCATTTCCCCCTAATTTTCTTTATAAGAAAGATATTTCATTGCATTGGAGATTTGCTGTTTGGGGGTGGAGGGAGGTTAATTAGGCATTTCTGCAGTATCTAATTTTACCTGATTGCACTATTCAGATTTGCGCTTCAATCAGATCATTTCTGGACTTCGGTGAAACAAACTCATAATGAGTCATACCTTTGCCTATAGCCAAAGTGGCTTAAGGGAATCAGAAATGGATCTACAGCTTGCCTAAAATGATATTTCTTCCCCAGTGATTAGTTTCTTTACTGTAGGAGGAAATAACATTTTCATTTCTGACTAAAATCTTATGCGTTGAACAGGTACAGAAAAGTACAAGACTTGATCAGCAGTAGCTTGATTTTTTTCTTTGGCCATGGCATAGATTAATGAGAAACATAGTATTCTTCTCGATTTTCTCACCCCATAATATGGCTTTATTGAAACCTCTGAAGTCCTAGGCAAGAGAAACGCAGCCATAGCTAAGAAAGCATTTCCATCGTCAATTGAAAGACCCCATTAAGTGCTTGCTAAATTGGGCATTTGATCACATTACAAATGCATCATTTTAAAAGATTCATTATTGATCCTAAACGGGTTTATTGAGGAGTCTCACTGAAAAATGAGGGCATATCGTTAAGCAGTGAAGACAGATAAAGCTGTACTCAGTTTTCAAGTGCTTTTTTTCTGTATTCTTTCCCATAAAGAAGTGACATTTGTGCCAATGTGCCCTGAAGACTTTTGGAATCAGGTAATGTGGTCCTTTATGTCAAAAAAACCAACAACACCCTGCCCAGATCTGTTCATCATCAAGGTGAACAGGCTTTCCACTCCCCCATATTAGTGTATATAGAATCATAGAATCATAGAGTTGGAAGAGACCTCGTGGGCCATCCAGTCCAACCCCTTGCCAAAAAACAAGAAAATCCCATTCAAAGCACCCCCCACAGATGACCATTTAGCCTCTGCTTAAAAGCCTCCAAAGAAGGAGCCTCCACTACACTCCGGGGCAGAAAGTTTCACTGCTGAACAGCTCTCACAGTTAGGAAGTTCTTCCTAATATTCAGGTGGAATCTCCTGTAGTTTGAAGTCATTGTTCCACATCCTAGTCTCCAGGGCAGCA